TTATTTTATGTTGATGCTATTGAGCTGAAATCTATCAATATTATTGATTTTATGTTACTTAAACAGCAACAGTGCGTCGGTGGCATAGCGGTTAGGACGCTCGCCGACCGTGCACATGGTCGGGGTTCGAACCCCGGCCGACGCACTCCTTTACCTCGCTAAACCAGAAATAAAGCTGGTAAAGAGGAAAGGTTGGGCATGAGGCTAGCAACCCCATCCTGCAAAAATAAACACTACTACAGAAACTTCAAGCCTCCAGCTTGAAGCCCTATGTTCCACTGGAACGTGAAGGAAAAATTATTAAAAATTATTATAAACAGCAACATTATTGTTGTTCATAACACTAATTCATTCGTTCACTATAATGTATATATGACTAACTGTAGAGCCTGATGATGAAGGGGTTATCGAAAGGAGTACTCTTTGTTCAGTATTCATTCTTTTGAAAATCCTACTCTATTTATTCCTAAATTTCGGTTCCTATGAAAAAAGAGTTAAGTCTAAATAGACTTTCCATTTCATTTTCCCAAACTAAGATAAGCAGTGGCAGACCAGAATGTAATTATGAAAAGTATGGAGGAGATTTTATAGGTTAGTTGGGTGTTTCCAGTATTTTCGTTGCTGTTGTTGAGCTAGGTGATTAAATTCAAAAGTTTCCATTGCATGTCTACGTAGACAAAATTGTAGTAATTTATTGTAATCGTAGTATTAGTATTTCGAGATGACCGAATTACAAGAATCCAAACGAAACACAGAGAGGGCGGAATTCAGGAATTTGTATTTAGCGGAATTCTAATGCAATTCATATATGAAACATATTAGCAATCAACAGTAAGTACTTAAACAATACAGAGATAGAAATTGTCAATCACCACATCCGCCACACGTCGAATATCTCCTTGCGTATTTATAACGATGTCTCGGTTTGCTTGCAAGTAGCTGCGACCTTCTAACTGATTCTGTGATATTATCTTCATCACTGTTATCTGGACTTATTTCAGAATTATCTACAAAATCAGGATTACTAGCGGAATTATTAATATCATAATTGGAACGACCTACTTCATTTATTGTCACTTTGTCCAGGTGTCCGTTATGAACTGAGTGATCTTTGATGTCTAATATCTTCACCACTCGATTTCCCATTTTTTGTAGTATGATTCCAACAGAAGGTCTGTAGTCATTCCCTTTGTAATAATGTACATTAGAAGTCGTGGACATCAGATGCTTTTTGAGAATTCGAGATTTGAATAGTTTTGCAGGACTTTCATGGGTACTTGTATGCTCTGCATTCAACAGACGCAGTCTATGCATATGCAACAATTCCTCCATTTTAATCAGTTGCTCTCTCATCTCATTCAGTTCTTCTCGTGTTTTCGACAGTTCGCATTGTAACTCGGCTACCTCATTTTTGAAAACAGTTGACGCTTGAGTTGCTGAACTTGTAGTGGAGGTTTTCATTGGATGAGATTGAGTATTCTGAAAAGTTGAAAGACACATTGACTCCATTTTACTAGACAGATTGGGAGAATTATAAGAATGCTGAGTAACATAAGTATTCGAACTTCTGCAAACCGTCTTGATGTGTCCAACTTTACCACATTTATGGCACTTAGCACCCCGAAAACGGCAAGTGCTTCGTAGATGTAACTTTCCACAGGAAAAACACGATTTAATGTTTTTGATCTCTTGCTGCATTCTATTACCTGTGGACGGCAGTTTGGATTGCTTTCCATGACCACTTATATTTTCGACTTTGGACAACGTGAAATCAGATACTGACGTAGTGGGAGCAGAGTATTCATTATTGACATCTTCATATGTAATACATAAATCTTTAGCAGTTTGAAAGGTACAAGAAGGAATCTGAATTAACTCTTTCTCTAACTTAGGAATATTGATTCCAGCAATTAGACGATCACGTAGTTGAGTATGCAGCTGATCTCCAAAGTTACACTTTGAAGCTTGAATTTGAAGTTGAAGAATGAACTCTCGAATCTTCTGGTTGGGAGCACGAACCAGTTTGTTGAATTGAGCCCTCTCTCGTGTCTCAAAAGTAGTTATATGGAAGTGATCTATCAGAAGTTCACGGAGTTTATAATATGGCAGAGAAATTGGTTTATCTGGAAACGACAGAGTCTTCACTAGGCTATACGCATCTAGCCCAATAGCAGTGATGAAATGTGCTGGTATTTTGTCATCCCGAACATTCTTGGAAATGCACCACGCGTCGAAGCATTCAAAATAATCAGCAATCTCCCGCGGAGAACCCTTTAGAGGAAATTTTCCCAGGTTATTTAGTTCCATCGCGACGCCAATTTGTAGTAATTTATTGTAATCGTAGTATTAGTATTTCGAGATGACCGAATTACAAGAATCCAAACGAAACAGAGAGAGGGCGGAATTCAGGAATTTGTATTTAGCGGAATTCTAATGCAATTCATATATGAAACATATTAGCAATCAACAGTAAGTACTTAAACAATACAGAGATAGAAATTGTCAATCATCACAAAAATCTTGGGAGTTTACTAAGTTGCTTGTCAACCATTATGGCTTAATCGTTTCTTCTTACCTTTCCTGATCATCTTGTGGCTTCTAGAGGAGAAAGGTTTCATTTAATATTCTATGTAGGGAAAATAACACAATCTGGTGTATATAGAAGTTCTCTCATCTTCATCACTTACTTCCTTTAGACTGCTTAATAAGAATTCGGTTATACTTCAAAGAATTCTGAAAGTTATCAGCAGGGTAGTTGAGATGTCTATAGGCCAATGCGCTGATAGACAACTTGACTCATTTCAGAAATTTAATTAACGTCATTTTATTGGACTCTGTCTAAACATAGTCTTTAAGCATAGCTTTCATCTTATTATGTCTTCTCATGGCAGAAAGGAGACAATTTCAAAATCGAAATATTTAGTTTGTAAAATATGATAAACTGCTTTAATTATACATGTAATCGAAGTAAACTGGAAAAAAAAAGGAGAACAAGGGTGAAAACAGATGTTTAATTCAATTTAGACTTCTCTGTCGATTAATTGAACTGAAATACTCGGTCTCAGGTTGACATGTCGGCTCCTTGCGCAGACACGCCGACGACGTCTGGGTCATATGTAACTTGATGTCACCTGGTGGATGGTGACTATCAGTGGAATCAAGCTAGGACGCGTACTTCTTCCTGTTTAGCACTCGTTAACTGGATGTACCTACTCATCCTGGATTCTACTACTAATCACCATCCACCAATTGATTTCAAGTTACATGAGCAGACATTGGCCGAATCATCTCAACGAGGAGTCGACATGTCAACCTGGGTTCGAGACTCAGTGGGAGCACTATCACTCACTACCGACTGGAGAATGCAGGTACACCCAGTGGCTGACGAGTCCAGAACGGGGCGAAGTGCGCATTGTGGCTGGATTTCACTGCTAGTCACCATCCACCAACTGACTTCAAATATACAGATGGGCTGGACAGAGGCTGAGAAGACCACTGAGTGACATCGCGTGCCAAACCATCACTCTAGTGGAATTCGAATGGAAAACTACGATTCCGGCGTGAATCCATCGATAATACGGAGGAGATTGTGTGAGGAGGAAATGGTAGCCTATTAACAATAGTTTAGTGGGCTGAAAAAGACTCCAGATACGACAGTGAAGTGGGGATCTGTTGTTGAAACCCTATTTTTCACTCAGAACCAGATGGACTGACGATATAATAATAATAATAGTTTTATACAGCGAAATTGAATCTTTCGTAGACTTATCCGCATATTTTTTTGCTTAATGGGGTTCTGGTGGAAAGCCGTGACCAGTAGGGTACAGCAGGTCGCAGATGAGGCAGTAAGACATTGCAAAGTGGTTACACTATGTCATGAGTTGGCAGAAGTTAGAATTTATGGGGTCCTGGTGGTCTACGATCTAGCTCGTCTTGTAACTAAAGGGTTCTGGGTTCGAATCGTGGCCGTGGGGTGTGTGGGGGTGTACTATTGAAGAGTTGTAAACTAGGCTGACGAAACAGCTGGCTGTCCAGTACTCCTAGCTGGTTTTCCAATGGTTCCCTAATCGATGTCAGCTCATAATGAAATCCTTCAACCAATCAAACAAAAATCCCTACAAAACCAATACTTGAATTATATATATAATCAATTTTTATGCAAAACAAATAAAGAAAAAGAGGACATTAATAATAGATAGATACCAACAATGAAAAAGTCATAGTATTATAAAAGAAGGGAAAAGTTGTTGCACTGACCCACGTTTTAACATGATTGGTTGTTTCAAAATCACCTACCACACAAATGCACAACACAGTGTGGTAGAACTTCTGGCTAGATGTGATGAAATGCATTCAGTCATTCATTCATACAAATCACGTTAATATTAATAATAATCACAATAATATAATAATAATAATAATAATAAAAGATAGAGAGGTTACTTCCAAATTCTTAGTGGTGTTGTAGGAATTTCCTATGGTAGACAGGCAGTCACAGATAAGATAAGATATGTTAGGATAAATTTTCAACGGCCATTCCAAATCCCAGTGGTCAGTTCCCCTCTGCCTCTCTCCCTCTCCTTTTCTAATCCTAGGGTATCGGACAGACCAGTATAGTAAGTAGGTAACGGGTAGGCAATCTCTTCAACCACGATAGTGTTTCCTGTCCACCGTTACAAGATAGATAGATAGGTGATGGATAAATTCTGGTGAATGGACATGTCTAGATCACAAATTTATCGATTCTAGGCATTGTAGGTACGATTATGTGCGTGTGTGCACATATGCTTATGTGTTAGGTATGTTCACGCATTCGTTATTAAACTGAATACACATCATTTAAGAGTCACAGATTGATTTCGGCACTCGCGTTGTCTTCATTTCACTTCACATTTTGGAGTTTAATCACAGTTTTACACTTGATTAAAACAAAACAAAAACAAAGAAACTATCTTTCTTGCATTATATTTTATCTATCTTTTTGATTATACACAACATAAATGGCAACTCGAACACAGGATTTCGGTATTGATGTGGCTATTTCTAGAAAGGTAAGGCAATTTATTGATTTTTTTTGTCTACTATGTGATGAATTGGGGGGTATATGTGATATTCATTATAATAAAATAAAGGTTGTTTCTGTGTTTATCAATGAATGAAAAAGAGCAATACGATGCTGTCGTTGTTTTTACTGACACTTCGCCATTTAAAGCTGCTGTTAATAGCTTTATCGAAGTAGTATAGCTTAAACCGCGATTTACAAGATCTCAGAAAACCCACTCTGACAATTATTTAGACTTTGGATCATCACACCCTATCAGTGCAAAGGTATCAGTTGTTTCAAGTCTTCTTAGATGAGCACACTGTTTGATGTTAACGGATGAGAAGGAAAGAGAAGAAGACGAAATATCAAACATAACTGAGACTAAATAAAGCAACAAGAAGACGTAATTTGTCTGAGTCGTGTGATGTTGTATTTGCTCAACACATTTCGAACAATCTGATCACACACGGACTTGTCATAGGAATATATATGAAATTAATAAAGGGTTAAGAAGTGAGAAAATAGACTACTTACGTCAAGTTAAAAGGACATATTGAAGGTCAGAATAACAATAAAGATCACTAAAGCAAATAACACAGGTATTAGTACATCTACCCTTGCTGGTATCAAAACAAAATTTATCAAGGAAGGTGGTTTACCCCGATGACGAATTGTTTTTGAATGCATGGAGGTGATTTAAACTTTCTGCTTGCCAGTTAGGGGTTCCACAAACTTTAGGATACTCTTTCTCTCAAACATGTTTTATAGATAGGTTTAAAAGATGTGTAAACATCGATTTTATGTCCTGTTTCTATAATATGTTTCGCATTAGAGGAGCTAGATCTCCTGTTCTCATCATTAATGGGTTCTGGGAATTCCGTTTGTTTCTGGAGCCATTTAGGAATATGCTCTGAAGCCAGCCCTTACTTGCAGAGATCGATGAGTCCTCTTTATCCATGTGTGTCCACAAGTACATTGAAATCCGTAAATACAATGGGATGTGACATCATTTTTCTCATGCTCAAAGAGCTTAGATGGATATATCGGCTTCATATTCTCAATTATTATGATACAACCCGCATAAAACGTTTTTTTTAACAGCAGCGTTCAATCTTTGTCTAGTTATCAAGCTGTTACGATCACCCATTTGCGGGGTAGCTTTATGTACACGTCTTTCTTAGGGGCGAGTTAGAGAGTGGGTCTTGATGTTCTGACTACTTCATATATATATACACGAACCAAAACCTTTCTGTAGAAACTTAGTCCTATCAAAGTCAATTTTGTGTCCCGTTTTTATCGAATGCAAAACAATCGTTGATCTGTTTTCTAACTTCTTTAAGTCTGAAGAGGTGTTTGAAACCACTTTTGGACATTGTTCAAGCTCTTTCGCTCTTATATTTACCTGCCTGGAATCGATAATATATCTCCTGAGACAATACATGTTCCAATACTACCGCACAATGTTCTCCCACTATTTCCTTCGAAAAATCTCTTACCAGTAGGTGGAAATGTATTTGAAATTGTCCTCCAGCATAGGTTGTGACTTATTATAGTAATTAGAAGATTAAAACAACTCGAAAAAGGGGGTAAAAATGATGCATTTCGATGGAAAGAAAATTTATGTAGGCCAGTGATTTAAGCAGGCAGCCAATCACTCAATTTACTCAAGCCTGTCTGCCTACCAATTTATAGAAGCTTCTTTTAAATCATGGCAGAAACCAATACGGAATCAAATTTATGACTTTCAAATTACATAGTTGACGAGGTGAAGTTTCCTTTGGAAACTGGAATTTTTCATATCACTCAGTACGTGGTCTGTTTGATGATACAACAAAATGGTAATTAAGGAAGCAAAGATAAATGTATCCTGTTATTTACTACTGATTCCTGCATATAAGTAGTTGAATATCACTCACATCAACCAATTGAAAAAAAAGTCCATTCGGTGTTTACATCATTTCATTTTGTCTATTTTACAATTACTACCGGTGATTGATGTGAGTGGTTTACCAACTACTCATTTCAGTCAATCAGTAGTATATAGCAATATAACAAAAATGAATGTGAAACAGGAAATACTTAGAGCTCGTTCGGTGTAATTGTTAGCTTTTGGCTAACTGGTTTTTCACTTATTTATTTCAAGGATTCTGACAGCAATTCATATATTAGTTGGCTGAGAAAACCCATTAAAAGTCTGAAAGACTGATACTAATGAATAAAGAATATTCTTTTCGACAAATTCGTCATCTTGTTCTACAGTTAGATGACAGTACTGCTGAAGAGTACCAAAACTAGGCTGAAGAAACAGCTGTCCAGTACTCCCTGAAGGTTTTCCAATGGTTCTGTAACCTATGTCAGTTCGTGATGAAACCCTTTAGCCTAAGGAAGTATTGTTATTAACAAGATAATTGTTTTTGTAGCTTAAAAATCCCCCATTGAGTCATATGAAAAAGAGAAGACGTTCAGCGAAGAGACTCTTTTCGACAGCGAATTCATTCACATGGCTGTACAATCGCATTTATATATAATTATTTGTGTATGTGTGTGTTTACATGAGGTTTGTTAAGTTTAGATAATTGATTAGTTAATACAAGAGTGATCTAATATAGAAACAAGTTTAACTAGACAGCTACTAAAGTAGGATTGAGTTAGTTAGTAAATTAGATGACGTTATATAATTGACTAAAATGTTTCAACTTAGGTTAGGGTAGCATCAGAGGTAATTACAGGTAGAGGGAGACTAAGTAGAAGTGGGGCTAGAGAATAATGCCATTTAAATTAGAACTGAAATTGAGCAAATAAGTTGGATGACGTAATATAAATGACTAGAAATTGAGCTTTGGTCAAGTCAGCAACAGTGGTGATGAGGTGAAGAAATTAAATCTGGTGGAAATAGAGAACAAGAGAGTTGTAAATGCAAAATACTACAATTAAGAAGACGAAATAATACTAATGAAGAGACAGAAAAAACATTAGGTAGAATTTACTTGTTGGGTAATAAGATAGATTACGTCCATTGCAAGTGTAGTGATTGAACGAACTACTTCTGCATGCAGAGTTCAGGATTTGTTTTTAATTATACTGAATCAGTAGTGTTGATAGATAACATTTCAAAAGTATCAGCTAGAGATAAAATGCATTCATATAACACTAAACTAAATATCAAATATGGGAAGTAACACTGAAATTTGTGAATTTATAGGTCCGACAGCAGGTGATGGACCTGTTTCTTTACCACACAGAGCTCCCTATGATTTAAGCGAACTGCGAAGACCTAACATGTTTGCAGCATTCAGGATCTAGAATTATTTTCATAAATTATTCGACAATCAATAGATGATAGATAAGGCATCTTCATTGCTATATTTGTAGTATGGCCTTTGTTTGGAAGAGGCGATCTAATATGGCAGTGTTGATGATTTTAACGACAGCTCGCTTTAGTTAATCACACTGGTTGGTGTTCCTGAGGTCAGCCTACGTACTTCATCTTTCATTTGGGTTATCACAACAGCTTGTGTGACAAATATAAATTGCAGCTTACTGTCATTAAATGAGACATTGAACTTATTTTCTACCGACTGGTTGGCCATTATTTCTCTTGGTACATCACTTTTCACATGTAGTCGTACACATATAGAAGCTTCTTGTTAAGAGATACTGAAGAATTCTTTTCTACTTTCTTAGTCATGTGTTTTGTGATGAACTTTTCAGAGGAGCTGTTTTCAATTAATGTGTTGTATACAACCTTAAGTTCTTCTTCTTCTTCTTCAACGGCATCATCTGGGAAAATATCCTATATTTGTCTTTCCCTACCGAAGGACTTCCTTCACGAGTATAATACTTGGTGCGTTTCATCAAAGTATACATGATAAGTGACGATATGACATAGCCTAGCCTGAGTGCTACCAGTTCGAGTGAGAGCTAATTCGTTGCAAGGGAAATCGAAGAAAGTCTGATACAGTAAACCCTATAGAGCAGTATCATAAAATCACTGGACATTGGATTTAAAAAAAAAGTTAAACGTTGAAGCCTGAAACCGAGATGTATAACGTCTATGAAGCAACATTTGCTGTCACTACAGACACTAATAAGAACTCAAAAGACATCCTCCAAATAAATACCTCATAAAAATTTCACTAGTTGAGAATTTAATATGAAATATTTAAATAATATATTCATTTATGTCATTACGTGAAAGTTGCCACGCCTCAGTAGGGGTTGTTATTGTTGTTAGGTATGTCGTAAAACCACATTACATGATAAGCTGTGAAAATTTCTTCAATGAACATTCTGAAACACTTGAATTGGTGGATGGTGACTAACAGTGGAATGCAGGATGCGCATTTTGGCCTATTTGGAACTCGTCATCTGGATGTACCTGGGCGTCTTAGCTTGATTCCACTGCTAGTCACCACCACCAATTCAATTCTAATTACATGCTCAGACATCGCCGAAGTATCTGAACAAGAAGCCCACATGTCAACCTGAGACCGAGCACTTCAGTCCAATCAATCGACGTGAAAATCTAATATTCAATTAAATATTCTGAAACACTTGTGTAGTGTAAAGCCTAAATATGAAAAGGAACACAAAAAGCGGTTTTGATAGTTTAATAAGTTTAAGTTTCACAATGGATAGATTTTCTTTCCTCAGCTTTCCATGTACATAGGATTTCTATGCTGATGGAGGAAATTTGTAACTCCCCTGATGGCTGATATTTGGTGTAGTTGTGTATGTGTATGTATGTTAGTTCTTTTCTTTTGAGCTGAATGGTTATTATAATTGCAAAGGAACTTTTATTGTCTTTCTCAGACAACGTGTCTTCAGTGCTAATTTTATTTATCAAGAGGTGAGAGGGTATAGAATTCTCTGTGTGAGTTCAACAGCCATCTCTCCTGATGATCTTGGAAGTGGTTAGCTAACCCATGAGATTATCTCATCCTCTTGTAACCACTTGTATGGATCCATTGACTGGCAGCTTCATATTTGACATATTAGTCTGATTTA